AGATTCTTAAACGTCTATCTGAAAACAGTGGTTAAAATCAAAAGTGGTTAAAACCAAAAGAAACAGTGGAGCTGTCAGCAGAATAAATAACGTGAAGAAAGGAATGTGATATTGAAAAGTCTGCTCAAAATACCAGAGCAATGAAAATTTGTGATAAAAACTTTAAGATATCAAAAGCTACGAAAGACTTCACAATAAAACTGTAATGCAAAAAATTTAAATACCTCGAAATTTGCGATAAAAAACGTTTCACAGTGGGGTGAGAGTCAAAAAATATGAAACAGTGGAGTAAGGGCTTTGGTCACGTGGCTGATATAAGTACACGAAATGGTACCAGGTCTCATCTTGATGCTGAGCGATTCCCGTATCAATGCGAACAGAGTTGTGGTGAAATGTACAGTACCGTCTTCAGCTACCGGCATATTCATTCGAATTAGGTGTTTATAGGCCAGGCGGTAAGGGCATTTTCGACCGAATCCAACAGGCGGTGCAATATTGCGTAGCATCTCATACATATCTGTGTAATGGATGCGCCCCCTAAACATAGCCTTTCAGTGCTTTCAGTTTTTTACCCAAAATGGAAAATCATTAAGTCATTAATTAATTGTATCAAGAAAACAGGTATTCAAGCAATTTTCAAGAAGGAGTTGCTTTGCATGCTGGAGCTGCTAAAAACAGGTGTCTCAAAGCAGAGGATCGGACACAATTGAATTTGCCACCAACATACTCTGCAGTAACACTGAGAGCTCGGAGCCTCTAACCGCTGTGATGAATTCTTTTCAAGAAAAACTGACGGGATAACGGAACAGTGAAAGAAAGGAAGACTTGTTCACTTCCCTCATCCTAAGAGAATACCAAGACTGCTTGAACAGACCATGTGAGAATTTCATAGTCATGTTGTTGGGACACTTCCTCCTTCCTTTTCTCCATCGATCTCGAGCTGCACTTCCAGGTGGTACCCAATTTCAGTTTAATTTAGACGTGCTATTTTTTGGATATTCCCAACCGGATATTTACTTCTTCGGAGTTGTCGTTCCACCGGCTGTTTCCTCATGAAGCATTAAATTATAAAGCACTATTATTGACTAACGTGGCAGCAGGATCGTAATCGGCCCAAACACGAACGAACTCATCCAGGTGGTGTGGTCCCAGTATTGAGCTATCTCGTGTCAAGTAATCAAAA